TCAATAGAATGTACTATTATTTTGAAATTCGATTCCATTAAACAATTTTTCATTTTTCTTTCCCGGTTTTAGAATTTTTGCAAAGAGATGGCCTTTTTTGTGATTATTTTTATCGATTTTAAAAAAGTAATTAAAATATTTTTGTTCATAGCTTATATCTATAAATAACAGTTTTGTCCGTTGTCGCTTTATACTCCCCGAAAAGACTACACATAATATTAAAATTAAAAAAAGAACACTACAAATATACATTCGAAAATTGTAAGACAAAATGGAAAAAAATTATGCAAAATAAAACACTACTATTGTACATTTCAAAAGTCAAAATAAAAATGCTCAAATTTCACATTTTTACGCGATTTTTTTGGATTTTATTCTTTTCCGCCAAAAGACAATTCCGAATTTGTCAAAATCGTTAAAATCAGATCAGCGGTTCTTCAATTATAAGCGGTGTTACTAACACAACTTTCTTATATATGCATATATAGATATATTTAGATTAAAAAGTAGGCGTGGTTAGTTCTTCAGACCCAAAATAAATGCTTAGGCGTGGATAGGAAGTCAACAGTATCTCGTGTAATAATTTTTAAACCGATATCTTCATTATTTTGGCAAATAAAAGGATTTTAGATAAATCTAAATAGAGGGCTTAAAAGTAAGCGTGGTCAATATTTTTTCTTTAAAAACTCGGGGTATGACGAAAGTTTTTACAAAAAATTATGTAAATCTGTCCAGCCGTTTTCAACTGATTTCGTTACCAACAAACAACAATTGATTTTTATATATAAAGATTCTACATTAAGGTAACGTGAAATATACGACTATATTAACAAATGTGGTGTTGCTGTTCCTTAACCGTGAAAATTTTTTCCGCGCCATACTTTTGCCGCACACCCTTTTAGTTTTTTGCATACCTTTGTTGTATTTCTTTGCATGCGTATTTTTCTGTACAACGAGTGAAAACGAGAGCTATAAGGAACATGTAAACATATCTGTATATGCTTACATGTTCCTTATAGCCTCGAAAACGGCTGAATCGATTTTACTAAATTTTTAGAGAACATTCAGGAACTTACTGTTGGGAAAATGTATTAATTTTATTTTAAAAAATCAAAGGGAGCGCTTTATCTTTTAAAAAAATGAATGAATCGATTTAACAAGTTGTTTCATTTCGAAAATATATACCGGGCTTAATAAAAGACCACTTACAGATTTAAAAATATTAATATTATTCTTATTATTTGGTATAGAAATGTATGCCAATCCACTACGTAATACTAATGGTTTTGAGTAATAGAATAACCGACCTGGCTTAAAATTTAAAATCCTTATATTAAACAATTGTACAAATTGGCGACAACGATGTGCTACAGGCTTATGTGTGTGGAAGAGTCGTCATATTCCACATAGTTTATTAAGCGCTTAAATTAAAAAGCAGTAAGTGATATACAAATGCGGTATGAATGGTAGACCTGATTGTTAATTAGAAAAAATCGTAGGGTACTATAGATAGACCCATAATTCCGCTTGAAGATCTCCATAGAACCACATTATGAGGCGATTTATGCATGCATACACTAACGACGCTTTGGTTATCCAATTAAATTGTCTAATTCTATTTTATATTTAAGTATTTTCAAGATAATTGAATTCATGAGAAATCGATTTAGATATGACTTTCATATGTTAGTTCCCATTCCCATTTAAATTTTAACCGGTCAAAAGCCGTAATACACAATTAATAGTTAAGTTACCAATATATGCGTGTGTTTGTTACAGGGGGTTCTACTAAATGTCCATAATGATCTTGGATACATAAAGTCGACCCCCAACTATTGTCGTTCCTCAACCGTTTTTTCTTGCTCTACTGTTGTATTTGAATTTATTAAATGTCATAATATTCTTCTAACTTCACAGCAAAACACTTTTTTATGCTCTGAGCTATATGGCTTTATTTGAAACGACCAAATTTTTCGTTATATAAATAATTATTTTTGACCCTAGTTATCTGTGGATCAAATCCGTTTCAAAACATTTGGAGTCGATCTGTTTTCTCAAGCGAGTCACTACAGTGGAATGCATAAATATTAAAAACTCATTTTAGGGTTAAACAGTAACTATGTGGGTCTATGCAAAATTCACCTTAAACATCATTTTAAAAGGATGACGGACAGTTTTCTGTCAACGGCTGTAGTGCCCATTACGAACTTCAAACACGAAATTTCAAACAATTTTAGTGAATAATTTTCATCAAAATACGGAATATAGGGAGGTATCGTTATATGGGGCTATACAAAGACGTGGATCCGTATACACGGTTTTTTGTCATAGGCTGCAGTATCTATTACGAACTATAAATACGAAATTTGAAACAATTCCGTTAAATATATCTCTTAAATCATTTTAGGAAAGTACCGTTATGTGGGGGCTATATAAAAACGTAGCCATGACCCATTTAGGAACCTAACCTGCCTACTGGCAAAATACTCAGACAGACACAGAGAGACGGACATATAATAGAAGAATATTTATACTTTGTTGGGTCTGACATGAGTATTTCGAGGAGTTACAAACGGAATGACAAAGTTAATATACCATGCATAGAATGGTGGAGGGTATAAAAAGAGCTTTTTCTATAGGAAAATTTTGGTTCAACAAATTCCAACACAAACAAAACGAAATGTCAAACTAGACAATCAATAAATAATAATCGTGTCCATCCAACCGCGCTTCTTCCTGTTCTTAACTCTAACCCCATGCACAATTATAATTATGACCTATATTATTTATAATTATGACATGTAGAAAATATGGCAAATCTGAAAAAATCTGTTTTTGTGCATTTCAATCCCTATTCCATTCTATACTGACCCTGATTCAATGAACCAATATTTTGAGGCGTTGCAAACTTTTGTTGTTGGGTATAAAATAATTTGCATTAATGCACTTACCAATCTTCTGGAAGTTCCAAAACATTTGTGGCATCATGTAACAGTCGCCCCCATTTTACACACACCGGGAAACATTGCGACGTTACTTTGAAATCATGACAATTTTTGAATCATGACAATTTTTGAATCATGACAATTTTGCAGACACCTTAATGACACGACTTAGGATTAATTTATTTTACAAAAAATTTCGCCAGTTATATTACCGAAGAGATAGCATGACGTAATTGATGTACATCCTCAAAATGTCGAACATCGTTATGGCTAATATATGCAATCTCTGTAAAACAAATTAATCCTCAGTCGGGTCTGAAAAATTGTCATGGTTATCAAAGTAATGTCGCAATGTTTCCCGAAGTGCCTTTAGCGTATACACAATCATATTCGTTCAGCGGATAGATAAAACAAATTTTCTTTTAAATCAGACATGAGCTAAGTGTTACCATTCAAGAAATAAACACTTGTTGAAAAAAACAAATAAAATTGAATACCCTCTACCATTTGGAACGAATTTGGAAATTTTCAAAAAAATAAAACCCATTAAAAATTCTATTAAAGTCTTAAAAATACCGAATATAATCGTTATACGAAGACGTGGATGTGTGAAATTTGAAGAAAGCCTGATGCATATTTCGGATTATATGATCGTTTTGGTTACACAAAATTTTGACCATTTGTGGGGAAGGTACCAGAAGGAATGGTCCGATCTCTTCTTTATTATAGATCTTGTTTTGATAGAAATATTGAGCTGTGGCAAGTCTGAATGGAATCGTATGTTAATTTCGCGTCTTATGAGCTCCAGAACTTTGGTTAATAAGAATATTGTGATGTGTGTAATTTGAAGAGAACTGAATGCTTATTTCGGATTTTATGAACGTTTTGATCATTCAAAATTTTGACCATTTGTGGGGGAGGTAGCCGAAGGAGTGGACCGATTTATTCCATCTTCACATTAGACCTTGAATTAATAAAAATATTGTGATGTGTGTAATTTAAAGACAATCGGACATTACACATCACATTATATAACAGTTTAATTATTACAAATTTTGACCTTTTGTGGGGGAGTTACTTGATGGAATGGGCCGATATTGTCCGTTTTCGCAGCCGAACTAGCACTGATGCAAATATTTGGATTTGCAAAGTTAGGGCAAAATCGGATTATCCTTACTCATTCTGTGGAGTAAATTATTTTCTTTGAAAATGTTGACATTTTGTGGCAGAAGGAGTGGACCGATATTGCCAATCTCCGAAGTCGATCTAAGTTTGACAATAATATTACGATCTACCTAGTTTGGATCAAATCGGATAATCCCTTCGAAAGTTATCGTGCACACCAGCCAGACAGACGGACGGACGGACATCGCTAGATCGACTCCAAAAGTCCTCAAACGGATTTGGTCCAATGATACCTAGGGTCTAAAACCGTTATTTCGACTAGGCACGTTTTGGCCGTATCATGGTAGGTCTCTGAACAAAACAGCTATTTTTTTGTTTTGTTATGCGTGAATTGACCACATTGTACGGTTTTTAATCAATTTTTTTTACAAACAAAAATAGCAATTAGGTTCGATGTGAATAATGCAAACTTACGAGTAAAAGATAACCAAGTAATGTATTAGACATTATCAATATCTCTCTAGATAACATACCCTATCATAAAAAAAAACTTTCTTATCTTAAACGAAAAGTATTGTGTCTGAATGAAACAAGAATGTTTTTTTCCGGAGGTACCTTTATATGGAAGCTATATCAAAATGTGGACCGATATCGAACATTAATGAAATATTTCATCTATCTCAATTTTTATTTCAAAATTGAATTCTATCTTAATTCGTTCGAAAAAAGCGTGATTACAACATGCAGACAGGTGCACAAATAATTTCAAATAAGTAAGTAAAATAAATATACATGCAAGAATAGGGCAGGAATCAATTGTAAATTACGAATGGCATTTGAATAAAATTGGCCGAAATATTACATATAAATCGTAGCAATTTGTGCGTCAATCAAGCGACAATACTTGTACTGTGGCTTATAAGTACATACCTGGCACGCAAACATCTAATAAATATGCTCTGGAAGGGCTTTGACAAGCATCTGCATCGAAGTCTAATAATACCGTACCCAGGACAGTAAAAAATATACCCCATGGATGGGATGTTTTCTGGATTGCATTGGCCTCTGTTTTCGATGCTGTTGCCCGATGTGGTGAATAGTTGATGTTATTGTGAGTCTCATTCATAGTAATGTTCATAGTCGATATTTGTATGTGTGGATCAACATCTCCAAATGCATAGCCCAAGTCTTCACCATTGGGTACCAACAAAAGTCCTTTGAAAATCAGATAAATTTGTTTAAATTGCATTCATTTACTTAAAACGACCACGTCTTACCCAAAAAAACTCCAATAGAAAGTAGTATAATAAAAGGCCTTCTTCGTCCCATATTGAGTTTGCAACGGTCACTCATTGAACCCAATATTGGTGTAAGGAAAAATCCCACCAGCGGCGATAATGCCCATACCAATGTCATATGTTGATGTTCAACCCCTATCTTCAGCAGAGTTGGAGACACAAATGCTGTTTCAGCAGCATACGAGAATTCGATTCCCATCACAGCAGCCGACACCCGTACTAATTCCATGCGAGTTTTGTGTCTTTACCATTGCGTGTGCGTAGTCATGTGGGAGTAAAAAAAATCTTTAATAAATCGACGCATTTAAATTCAATAAAAAATAAATAACATGAACATTTCCTTAATCCTTCTAATATAACAAATGTATACTGACAACTGTGATTTATTTGTGGAGAGGGGTAGACAAATTGTTTGTTGAAAATGAAACCCATTTAAAAATCAGTTTTTGCATGTAACGAAAACAGAATTAGAATGTATGAAACGAAAAATATGGCCTTATCTATAAAATCCACTAAACAAGTCTTTATGGGATTGAGGGATATTTTTATTCTAAATGTATATATATAGTCCTGATGTTTTTTTTTTTTTCGCTACTGCCATTTTCTACAAGGCAAAACTATACTTATTTCCCTAACTACTGCAGACGTTTGTTTTGGTATTGAATTGAAATTTCACACATAGCCGGGCATCTCACCGTCGATGATGATATTGAATTTTATAAAGAACGGATAACATTTTTTAATTTGACCTTTATATGAGAGCTATACTCTATTTTCTTCCGGTGGTTTTGGTATCCATTGAGAAGCGCTGAAAACGTCAAATTAACTTATACCGGGAGAAAAGTTAAAAATATTGAATATTATTTTACTAAAAAACAAAATGCATATTCAGTATTTTATTATAAATGGTATTATCCAGGCTACATATGAACAGCGACCCTAATACCAAATATATGATTTCAAGCACTACCTGTTCACCCAATACCAAATTGTACCAAATATAATACTATTTAGTGCTTTTCATTTGCTTGAAGTGGACATTTCCAAACCCTCAAAATTCCAGCTTCATCCATTCACACTAAGCTCAAATTTCCGAAACCTTCATATATCAAACTTACTTTCTAACGTTGATTCTCATACCAAGTTTCAAGTTTTTAGCTGCATCCGTTCCACAAACCCTTTGGTACATCTATCATACACTGCATCAGCTAGTCTCATTCCAAATCAGAATTCTAGCTCATTCCGTTTGTCTAATACAAAGTATTAAATTTTGAGTAAATTTTAGTACTTTTCGTACCCTCTTAGTACGAGCTTCCAAAACTCAGCCTTATGCGCCTGCGGATTAAGACTGACCCGTTTAAGATTCTAGCTTCGGCCGTTATTGTTATTGTAAAGCTTTAGAATAAACAAGTTTTTTTTTCGTTCAGGAGCGTAAACAAACAAATCGCCCAGTATACCAACGCGTGAACATGCCATGTACTGCTGACCATCAAAATTTTAACCGATTTCAATATAGTTTGGCAAATTCTTTTTGTACTGAATCACGTCGCTCATTCCAATTTTCATTGGAATCGGATATTCATATCGTGTTAGAAATCCACTGAAAATATATATGGAAACTATATTCAAATCTAAACCGATTTCAATATAATTTGGCAAATTCCGTTTTGTACTAAAATCCGTCACTCATTCCAAATATCATTGAAATTGGATATAGATAGCGTGTTTGTTGCATCAAATACACGAATTCGGCCGAAAAAATATATGGAAGCTATATCCAAACCTAAAAAAATAAAGTATATAATTTGGCAAATTCATTTTTGTACCAAATTCCGTTACTCACTCCGAATTTCATTGGATAAAATATATTCAAATATATAAAATCGGACGAAAATATCTATCAGAGCTATATGCACATTTGAAACGAAAATCCCTCATGGTCACCATGTTTATGATTTAAAACGCTAAGGCAATATGCAAATTTTTGGAAATGTCTATGGAATAGAATTTTGAAACAACATTTTTGGATTTTTCAAAACTTTGTTTGTCATTCGTTTCCGTAATTGTGGTTTTCATACAAATACAAACCATTTGTTCAAAATGCATTTTGTGCAGTCTTTGCCGTTTTAAGTCTTTTTAAGTAGTTTTGTCCACCTCAGAGGACAGAATGATTCCAAAATAATCAATGTTAATTACTCTTTTAAGCCCAATACCATAGTACCCCGTCTGTTTTCCCGCCAATCGGTTAAATTAACTATAGATCGGTGGACCTGGGAGATACTGTTTTAGGGGGTTATACCAAAATATGTATCCCTGTTTTTGCAGTCCCAATGAATTCTGCATTTTGGGTTCTCATTATGCCTACGTTTGCCACATATTAAGTTAGTTCGCGTTTCGATATGAGCCCCATACATCTGTTTCGGACATATTTGTTTGTTTGAATGGGGTTGAAAAGCTAGTCAAAAAAGATCACCATTTAACATCGTAACGTGCATTGGTTTCATTTTCTACATATTTCGTTCGAATTCAATATAGTATGTCAAATTGAATAAATGTATGCGATATAAAAATATCGAAACATTAAACAAATATATATCACAAATATTTTTATTGGCGTTTTTTCGTAGCTTTTTTTATTTTATCCTTTTCTGCCAAGTAACATTGTAAAATGGTGAGAATTGTTAAAATCGGGCAAACCAATCTTGAGTTATAATCTTAGTAGCTAACATGACTTTTAAATGAATGAATTATAGATTATATCTGGTATCATGTAGTTAACTGAAGTGAGTAGCAAACAACAATCCTGAAAATATATATATATTACTACGCTTCTACCTCAAGAACCGCTGGACTGATTTTAACGATTCAGACAAATTCGGAATTGTCTCGTGGAAGAAAAGGATAAAATCCGAAAAACGAGTTAAAATGTGATATTTGCACATTTTTAAAATATAAATATAATAAAATAAATATATTTGAACACCTTTGAAATGTACAATAGAAAGTTGTGTTAGTTACTACGCTTATAACTTAAGAACCGCTGAACTGATTTTAATGACACATACAAATTCTGAATTGTCTCCTATCTGAAAAGGATAATATCCACAAAAAATCGCGTAAAAATGTGATATATTAACACTTTTATTTTGACTTTTTAAATGTACAATAGTAATGTTTTATTTTGCATGATTTTTTTTCCTTTTTCACTTACTTTTTTTCTAATGTACATTTGTAGTATTTTTTAAATTTTATTTTTGAATTCGAATATTAATACTAATTTCTTTAATTGACTTGATTTCTTGAGAACTGAAATTGATGGCGGGTTACATGGAAGTGTAGTACCGAATCATGTGGTGGCGAAACGGAATAGATGATATCGAAATAATTTAACGCGATCACACCAAACTTAAAAGATAATTACTTTTTCAAAATCTCTAAAAATACGAAAAAGAGATCTCATTGCAAAAATTCTCAAATCGGGAAAATATCGAAAAAAATTTTCAATGGAATTGAATTTTAAAATAAAAGTACATTCTATTGACAAACTTTGTAAGGATCTTTAAACAGTTGCTGTAAAAAATAAGCGAACAAGTTGAAGATTTTTTCAATTTGTTATTCTTTTTTTGTCAAATTTTTTCAATTTGTATTATCATATTGAATTCAGTGGATTTTTTTGTGAACAAAATGAAGAATAATTTTTCACTATATACAATTTTTCACCAAAAAATGAAATAAGTGCGAAATACGATATTCTGACATCTACCTTTCAACTCCAGGGCCTACATCGTGCTTTAATCAAACAAAAATGACCGAAAAAGACTAATGGGGCTCATTTCAAAGCGTGGACTTACTTCTTTCATGTGGCAATAATCCCTTCATTGAGAGCTCAAAATGCAAATTTTTTGGGAGTACAATCAGTAAAATACCAAATATAAAGGGTGCACAATAGTAGAGCGAATGGGACTTTTAGTAAGAAAAGGATTTCTATCCTTCCAGAAATTATTCCCGAACATTCAAGATACCTTAAAACGCTTTTGCAGGTCATGATATCGATCATATATAACCATCGTATGATTTAAGCTATTTTTTGGGGTCTTCGCCACTTTCTTCTATTTGTGGCTTTTATTTGGAATCTTTGTTTCTAAGAGGGTAGAGAACCTCTTCGCATAAAATTTTCGGAGTAGGGCCCATATTGGTCTTGACCACATTCATTAATTGATTTGGCTAAAAAATTGTATTTATGCTACCCTGGCAAATAATTGCCACATAGGAATTTACTTAAGTAAAGTTCCCACATTGGAGTATCCCCAAGTCCACTTTCACATCTAATGTGTGGTCAGAAAAGAAAATTTTGTATTCTATTGAATTTGCAACCCCCAAGAGGATATTGGTTGGGAACGTAGATTTGGGATGTACATCTATATGAAATAAATTGTGAAAATATGAACAAATTACAAATATGAGAAAGTAGCACGGTACCGAATATTTGTTGAATCGTCATTGAATTATACTGTGATGAAAAATATGGACTTTATGGGGTCTCCAACTTACAAGTTAAATGACAAATAAAATTAGTTTCCATCTTACGGTAATGGGTGTAAAATTGTAATTATATTTGACTATTCTGAAATCAGTCTGCCTTCAATTATGAGGTGGATAAAACTATTTTTACTTATTTAAATCACGTAAATTTTTTTCAGTTTGACATGGTATTTTGTTCTGCTATATTTTTGATTTGGCCTCTATTTGTCATCTTGGATTATAGGGGGTGAAGAAAGTTTTCAATGTAGGTCGATGTTTCGCAGTAGTGCCCATATAAAGGTACTTCCTGATTTTACCATATTTCAAAGGATTTGGCTAAAAATGTGTATTTGGAGGGTGAAAATCTTACACAAAAATTTCAACATATCTACAAATTTTAGAATTTTCTCCATGTTATAGTACCCCCTCAAGTCCACCTTTTGGCTGAGAAACAGACCGACATGCTTAGGGGGTCTTATGAGGCCTCTTATGCACAATCTGAGGTGCTAATGGGGTTAAAAAAGTAATTAACTTTGGCTATTCTTTAATCATTCAGCCCTCAATTATGAGGTGTACAATATACAGTAAATTCCAAATTACTGATCATTTGACTAAAAATTAATCGACCAGTACGTGAACACTTCTAACAGTCATATCTGTGAATAATTATGCTTTGACAAATATGCATAAGAGACAAAAACTACCAGCCAGCTAGTGTTTT